AGCTAGTTGGTCGAGTCATTATTTATGTTGTCGTCGTCTTATATTTGAGTTTACATCTACTATTTCTTAAATATTTTACTACCCCTTAACCCTATAGGGTTATGCATATGCGGGTTAAGCTAGTTAGTTAGGTTAGTGTTTCCGTTGCCGTCGCCTTATATTCAAGTTCACATCTATTATCCCCACCCTATAAGTTAAAATGGCTTATAATAAAATATAGTCTTGCAAATAGAAAAACACTAAAAGAAAACACAGTGGAAAAAAGGACATGATTGAAATGAATGCTCGACTCGGTTGATATATTACAGATCTATGATATTGTATTAACAAAAATACACGTGCTATAAAGAAACAAATTAATATCCATAGTTTGCTCATTACCACTAATTAATTAAGATTTGAACAAGGAGTATTTAAATGGAACATGTGTTCGCATAAGCATTATGAAATTGAATGAGCTGCAACAAAGAGCTGCAATATTTGGCATGTGAGGAAAACAAAATTCCAACTATAATTTTATACCAACTATAATTCACAAAAAAGAAAACATGATAATTAATAAAAGAACAAAAGGAAATAAAAAGGAGAATGAAATTAACAAATTTATAAATTCCTAGAATTATCAAATTAGAGCTTATGCATGTTTGTCTCCATCTGTTTGCATGCTCCAATTCTATATAAACACAGCCACCACATCTTTTTTCTATCTAAACTAAACCAGTCCTCTCACACAACTCTCTCTCTCTCTCTCTCTCATCCACAACCCCACATTGTGCAGAAATGAGTGAGTTCAGTTTCAGAAGCATCACATTCATGCTAGTAATTGCATTTCTGGTTTGGTCGTCGAATTTCGACGCTTGCATGGGGAGAAGAGGCCGGCATTGGAGGCAAAGCAGGGCATCCTTTACTTCTCTTTCAAAGAAAAAAGGAAAAAGCAACCACGGCGGCAGCGGCGGCGGCCACTACCACAGCGGTAGTGGATCAAAACCCAAGCCCCCATCTCATAAAAAGGCACCATCTCCACCTCGTAACAAGGCACAGCCTCCACCTCATAACAAGGCACCATCGCCACCTCAATATAAAGCTCCACCACCACCACAGAAGGGTTCCTCCACTTATAATGTGCTAGATTTTGGTGCTAAGGGTAACGGCGGTACCGACGACACAAAGGTTTGTAGTTGGTTTAAGCTCATCATAATTTTACTCCGTACTCAATTAAGAACTAATCAATCATGGTCAAGGGTTAATCAAAATATCTTCATAATTTGAGCTTTGATTAATAATGTTGCTAGCTTTGTACCCTGTTTAGCTTTTTACAGTTACGAAGTCGATTCTCATTAGTTGCAAATCATAAATTAACACGTATAATAAAATGATTACTAACAGAACAATGAGAAAAAACATGTAAAAAGTTAAGTATTTTCTGCTACGTTTGCGAATTTAGCTCATGATATTTCCATGAAAATGACATGGAATTCCAACATGCTCCTAGCTGTAGCGTAAATGAATGGTAGTCACTTAACCATTGAGAGAAACAAAATGATTATTTTGGCAAACTTTTTTCCTTTTTGCCCTTTTGCCCTTTTGCCTTTTTGTATCACTTGCACGTGATTTCTTAAAGGGTTGGGTTGGGTTATTTGGTAATTTTACCCAAATTATAGTTAAAGCATTGCGGTCAGTTTAATTAATTTTAATGTTTAGTTAATTGAGTTTAATTTTTATGTAAGGACTTACCTAAAATATTTAATAATTACCGTTTATAATAAAGTGATTAAACTCAACGGGAGAATATTTAAGAGCGTCTCCATCCATGGTCTAATTGGCAGGGCAATTGAGTTCAATTGCCCTTGGCCCCAAAAAAGGTGGTCCGCTAATGCAAATTATGGAACGCAATTAGGTCAAGGGCTTGTGCCCTTCAATGCCTTTGCAAGAATTGCCTTGGCTTGTGCCATTGCACTAGCAGGACCCACCCATGTGCCCTTGAAGACCGTTGGATTTCCAACGGTCCAGAGAACTGTTGGATTTCCAACGGTCCAGATAACTGTTGGATTTCGAACGTTAAAAAAAAAAAAAATTATCTCACGTGGCATAATTTGGTGCATCTTATTTCAATAAAATTTAATCAACTGCCTGGATTAAAGGGCAGTGACAACAGAACAAACTAAACTGGTGGGGCCCACTGAACAAATTTTATTCTCGTTACGGCAGTTGGGTCACGATTCCAACAATAATTGTATACTGTTCTGCACAACAAATTAACACCAACCGTATTTTCTACTGTTAAAGTTTACATACGGTAGTTTGTATAACATCTAACGGAGGGGTTTTGTTATTGTGTGACGCAGGCATTCCAAGCTGCATGGGCCGCTGCTTGTAAAGTCGAGGCATCAAGCATCATTGTTCCAGCCGGTTATCAGTTCCTTGTGGGCCCCATCTCATTCTCCGGCCCGTACTGCCAGAAAAACATTTTATTTCAGGTAAAAATACATATACACACAGTAACAGAGTGGTAGTAAAATTAAAAAAAACCAAAAAAATAAAATAAAATAAAATCAAAGTAAAAGTAATTGCATAATTCACATAACTCCTTCAATCTAGAAGGTTAATGGGATTCAGTACGCATTGTGTGGACGACTGACGTTATCATTCACTTATTATAATTTCTATCTTTTGTCTAATGTACGAAATTATGAATTTTCAGTTAGATGGCACGATACTAGCACCGACGGACTCGAAATCCTGGGGCAAAGGCCTGCTACAATGGCTTGAATTTACAAAGCTAAATGGAATCACAGTACAGGGAAAGGGAGTGATTGATGGAAGAGGCTCGCCTTGGTGGCAAGACACTCCCTACGGAGACCCTATAGATGGTGATTTCAAGCTCATTGTGCCACTAAACAGCTCAGTCCAACAACGCCCGCCAATGCCGGTAATTAAACTAAACTAAACTAATTTTTGACACTAGATTTGAACGTTAAATTTCGTGATCATCAAGCTTAAACTAATCAGCATCCTGTGGCTGACATCCGTGGCAGATAAGAAGCGAGCTGAGCGGGAAAATGCCAAGCATCAAACCGACTGTAAGGACCACTTGTGTGCCAAAACCTTGACGCTTATGTGATCTTGAATCTTGACCTGCAGTTTCAGTAACATGGTTTTTGTATTTTGTTGATTGTGCAGGCACTGCGGTTTTATGGGAGTTTTAATGTCACGGTTACAGGCATAACGATTCAGAATAGCCCCCAATGCCATCTCAAATTCGACAACTGCCAGGGAGTGCTGGTCCATGATATGAGCGTCTCGTCCCCTGGGGACAGTCCCAACACAGATGGAATTCACCTCCAGAACTCCCAAAGAGTGCTCATCCACTCCACCACTCTTGCTTGCGGTAACTATACACCTTACTCTTCAATATCTACTGTTACTGCAGCGCAGTGTGTCGGACTCACATATTCCACACTTACTATAACTCCTTGGGGGATCATTCCATGAGCAATCTTATCCTGCCTGCAGCCTTACGTATTGGCATTTTCCATCTGACAATCCTCGACCACTAAAAATTTGACATGTAGCAGCAGGCAATCTGCTACATTCCAAGAATTATGGCAACCTATTATGATGATGCATTTCACACCCTAAATCATCAGTGGTCTATCCAAATTTAGGATTAGGTCTCAAACCCATGACAGCAACAACTCTTGTTTTGTAGTATACCCAAGCCTCAATCGATATTTTGTCATCATCGGACGCTAGAAACACTACTCAACTCCCCTGTCCTTCTGTCCAGTTCAACTTAAAAACGGCCCACATACAACGGATAAAAGATAAGAAGGAAAAGTATCAAGCATGGCACTTCATATCACAATGATTCCTAAGAACTAACACTGAAGAATCAAATTTACACAGTAACTGCGAACAACGGACAAGGCATGAAATAGGCAGAGACTTAATACCAAGTCGATTAGTATAACTGTCATGGATAAATATTGAACTAAACGTTTCAATTCTAATGATTTGTGCAGGAGATGACTGTATTTCCATACAAACTGGATGCTCGGATGTATATATACACAACGTGAACTGTGGACCAGGGCATGGAATCAGCATTGGAGGTTTAGGAAAGGGCAACACGAAAGCATGTGTTTCAAACATTACCGTTCGAGACATCATGATGCACAACACGATGAATGGTGTCAGAGTCAAGACATGGCAGGTATGGATTCACCTAAAAGTTTTTAACACATCCTTCCTGCTGATTATTGGACTTTAACATAGAACTCTCTTCTGCATCGAATACTCAAATGTCGACTGAAAAACTATCTTAGTAACGCTAGAAATGAGTCCTTAAAAAACGTCTTCTTTATGGGCTCTTCCGAAACGTCAAAATAGTTACTAAAGCTTGACAACTTACCATTTTCTTTTACTCATATAACTGAATCCTAAATGTGCAGGGTGGATCAGGGTCTGTTCAGGGAGTGCTGTTCTCAAACATTCAAGTTTCTGAGGTTCAACTCCCCATTGTGATTGACCAATTCTACTGTGACAAAACCACATGCAAAAACCAAACATCAGCTGTGGCTCTTTCGGGAATCACCTACGAGAGAATAAGAGGAACTTACACCGTAAAACCAGTACACTTTGCCTGTAGTGACAGCCTACCCTGCGTAGATGTAACACTAAATGGTATACAGCTAAAGCCATTGCAAGAAAAGTATCACCTGTACAACCCCTTCTGCTGGCAGACTTTTGGGGAGTTGAGAACCCCAACAGTCCCACCCATTGGTTGTTTACAGCTTGGCAAGCCATCAGGCAACCAAATAAATTCAAATCACGATGCGTGTTGAGATTTTTAGTACTAAGTATACATCTATATATGTATATCTGATGATGATGGTGTACTCACTTTGTGTGGCCGGCATGATTTCCTGACCCCTTTCGCACCATCAACTTATTTGGTAATTGGTAATTGGTATAGTGTGTGTATAATTTGGCAGTCCTAGTTTTACAGGAATTCTTCCTCATCTTTGTTAGAGGCTTACATTTATATCCTGCTGTTATACAAGATTACATAATTACAGAACTTCCATGAATTGTCTACGTTCCAGTGACTCCACTGCTTCAAAAGCAAGCAAATTCAACATCGTATATTGAAAAAAGTACAAACAACATAAGCAAGTGGCTAAATAACAAGAGAGACTACATGAAACATATGCTTCGCCACTTTGGGATCCCTAATCTACCACGCGTCGTTAGGTGTTTTAACTTTTCCGCATGATACTTGTTTCATGTAAGTTCTTCGGGATCAAGATACATCCCCTTGTACAGCACCATCACTTGTATCTCTCTGTAAAAGTGTTGTAGACACAAGGAGATATCTCGCGCATAAGAATTTCTAATAGATTAGGGATTGAAATTGAAATCCAGATCAGTATTCAAGACACATACTACAGATAGCACAATAAGCAGATAAATTAGTACAAAATAAGAAGATTAATTAACAGTTCATTTAATAACAGCAGATTAAAGCATGAAATCCAATCAGTACAATCTTACAATTTGATAAATCATACGAAACGCAAAGAAATTTATCAAAAGAAGTCTGAAAACGCACCGTTTTCGTCCTTTCCCTGGATTCTGATTTGATTTTTGCAAACTGAAATCCTGAATGCGCACAACATGCTTACGAATTGCAGTGGCAGTTTTACCTCTAGGGGCTTGGCGCCAAAAACGACGCCGCATGATAAATTGAAGAAACGCACCGTTTCGCTGTTCGCGCCATATCTTATCCAATCCAAATGTCTCATCTTCAACCTCCAAAGTCCAAAGCGTTGATCCTTATCCAGTTTTCCTTCAATGGCAGAGGGCTTAGAGAAGGACGTCATGACCACCGCAACTAGGAGGGTGGCCTCCATCGCCAACCACCTCATTCCGGCCCATTTATCTCCCGGCTCCGCTGCAATTTCTCTCTCCAACGCCTCCATGAACGACAGCTACCACCGCACCCACGGCGAGGTTTCGACTCACCGAGTTGTTTGGGAAAATGCTCGCGACGTTTCCGGCGACGAATTCACTGATATTATATACGAGAAAGCCGTCGGCGAAGCCATTGCAAAGGTCAGGCTCCTCAGGTTGGTTTTGATTAATGAATCCTAATTACTGAGAGATCAATGCGATTTGATGTGTCTGAATCTCGTGATTTTTGTGCTTAGGTTACGATTAATAGGCCGGAGAGAAGAAATGCGTTCCGGCCGCAGACTGTGAAGGAGCTGATTCGCGCGTTTAATGATGCCAGGGACGACGGCTCCATAGGCGTCGTCATTCTTACCGGGAAGGTACGTCCTTACCCTCTTTCGTGCCAATATCCTAACATTTAGCTCCGTCACAAATTTCCATTGCTTCTGTCACTTGGAATGCACGTAATCAACTTTTAACAGATATTCGCCAACAAAATGTTACATTTGTAACGATAAATTACTAATTAGCGAGTACTTTGAATCGGATAGTTGAGCTATAAGAAAATATTAAGAGGGAATTCAAACATACTAATCTACAGCGAATCTAACGGACAAATTTGTTGGAATATTTGACGACAAGGGTCAATTGGTACGAACAAAAAGTTTAGGATTAGTAGCTAGTAACATGATGAAAATATGTCAACTTTACACTGTTTTGTTGGTAATTTGGTGTTTTTAGGGAACCAAAGCATTCTGCAGTGGCGGTGATCAGGCTTTGAGAGGAAAAGATGGTTATTCTGATTACGATGATTTTGGCCGTCTTAATGTGTTAGATTTGCAGGTATATTATACATTCATGTTTATATTTTAATACGATTCTGTAACATAAATGTTCTTACTGGTATATAAATCATCTCAAATCGGTATGTTCAGGTCCAGATTCGACGTCTTCCAAAGCCAGTAATAGCCATGGTATGCCCTTCTCAACATCTTTAGGCCTTTGCTGTTGGACAGTTGGAGAGCTGCGAAACTTAAACGTTTCTGGTTGTCGAAAACTTTACCACATTTCTAACTGTTGTTCATGTTAAATGGTTTATCAGGTGGCTGGTTATGCTGTTGGGGGAGGACATGTGTTACACATGGTCTGTGATCTAACCATTGCAGCAGACAATGCTATTTTTGGCCAGACTGGTCCTAAGGTGCTCATATCATATACCTTAATTCTGGTTAAAAACTTCGCGAACTTGATTTTGAATCACCGTCAATCATTCATCTTCGTTTCATCTTCAATCTAAGAATGGGTGAGAGCAGCATGCTAACATACAGAAACCACGCAACTTGTACATTTGGCAGGTTGGAAGCTTTGACGCTGGTTATGGGAGTTCCATCATGTCCCGTTTGGTAGGAATTGTTTCAAGTCTGACTTGTGTTATGCAAATACTTCTTTCGTATTGCTCTAACTTGGTATGTGTAATGAATGGTTTTGGTCAATCAGGTCGGGCCTAAAAAAGCACGAGAAATGTGGTTTATGGCAAGGTTTTACACAGCTGCTGAAGCAGAGAAAATGGGACTTGTTAACACTGTTGTACCGGTAAGTTCACTCTCAATGCGACACAAATCTCATCGTATGGCCTATGAACTGAATACAAATGACATTTTCCTTGAAAATTAGCCTTATATCACTAAAAGTTTGCGGAAGATAGCATTTTCACTGTTTTATTCGGTTATCCAGCTGGAGACTTTAGAGCAAGAAACGGTTAAATGGTGTCGAGAAATGCTAAGAAACAGCCCAACCGCGCTTCGGGTGCTGAAGTCTGCTCTTAATGCAGTTGACGACGGTCATGCTGGACTGCAGGTACCTTCAGTTAGCAACCATATTTCTAGAGATGCCACGGTCTTATTCATACATGCATGTGCTAACTACTTCACCAATGTTTCCAACGCAGCAACTTGCTGGAGATGCCACGCTCTTATTCTATGGCACTGAGGAAGGTAACGAGGGGAAGACGGCTTATATGCAGCGCAGACGTCCAGATTTCTCAAAGTTTCCCAGGAGACCTTAATGCTGAGCACTTTCCCAGCAGACTTGGACCCCTTAACCACTTGTTTGTATTTCCTTCCTTTCACCCCTTTTCGGATAAATGGTTTGGTTTTGAAGTTCGGACGTTGGTGGAGAGGAGAATAGATTTATGGCTGATTTCACTTGGAAGTTGCTTTGTCATCTAATTAGAAGCCTCCTTTCACGTAGAGTTTCACTACGTTTTCGGGCTCCGGAAAAGTAATTTGTTCAAATCTCTTGCTCATTCAATCTGTTTTTTAGGCGATATTTTAAACTACTCTTGCAGTTTCATCTTCGGGTGATTCGAGTGCTAGCTAACCTTATACATTTATCTACTATGTTTGATTTATCAGTAAAGAAAAGAAATTTTATACTTTCTAATTTTTTATTGTGTGCTTATTGACGAAAATGAAAATAAAAGGGGGAGAACATAACTCTTTGATAGCTTGAGTTTAGTAACTTTATTTGCATTCCAAAAAAAGTTCAAAAGCAAAACAACAATCATAATATACTAGTAAAGTTCACACACTTTGTGTGTTGAGAAATATATTTTTTAAATATTTGTATTTTAATTTTTTTTTTATGAGATAAGTTATCTGTTCTTAACAGATTGACAGACATTCCAAAAAATTAGGAGTTGGCAGTTAGGAAAGAGAGAGAAAGAGAGAGAGAGTGAATGAGTTGAGAGGGTAGCAATAAAGTGACATAGCTGTGAGCTTTAGGAAAATAGCAATAAAAATTAGTTTGTATTAAAAGGGTATAGTAGTAATTATATTTGTTTTTGGTTGACAAACTGGGTTTTATTAATATGTAGTTTCCATCCTCAGTACAGCAGCAATGGCCAGAAGCTGCTGCAATACGTGCTACGGTGCAGGTGTGTATTGAGTTGGGATGTCAGGATGTGGAGGTTGAATCAGATTCTCATATGCTCATTCGAATGCTTAATGGGGAATATGCAATTGATCCTACTTTGGAGTGCTTTATTTATGATATTGGGCTGTTAGTAGCTATAACATAAGAGGATGACAGAAAAAGAGAGAGAGGGATACTGATATTATTTCTATTCTTTCTTTCGCGAGTCTGTTTTAATAGCACACGAAGTGTTATATTTATAGAGCAACTCCCGTAATAATAATCATCCAAATACAATGATGACACTGTTGAAAGTATCAAATACTATTCCCAAGTCTTTATTTCTTTGAGTGCGCATTCACCCACTAATTCTACAACAATAGTAGTAATTATATTTGTTTTGGTTGACAAACAGTGATTTATTAATATGTAGTTTTGATTATTGGATAAAAAAAAAAATAACGCAAAATAAGGAAAAAGAAAAAGAAAAAAGAGAGCATAACTTCGGAGCGAAGGGCTTCTGTCTGACAACCTAAAAGAGAAACGCCCCAAAATTCCGCCCGCTTCAAGCTGACGTGGCAACCTTCCTCCTCCCATCTCTGCTCGGGCAAAAACTCGTCCGAGTTCGCATTGCTCACGCGACCTCGATTCAGAAAACTCTGCTTCACAATTAAAATCACGTCCTCCACCCAACCCAAATTCGATTTTCTCCCTCAATTCGCAAGTCACAAAACCCTAAATTATGAGAAAGCACAGCTCCTAAAACCCTAGAAGCGATGAGCGGGAACGAGTTCCGCTTCTTCCTGTCCTGCGACATCAACCTCCCGGTAACCTTCCGGATCGAACGGCTAGAAGGAGCCCTGCCTCCCCCCAAGTCCCCTAGCTCCGGTACTTGTTCTCTCTCGATTTTCCGTTTGGTTCCCGAGAAATTATTTTACTCAGTCAACGTTCTTCAATTCAATTTCTTTTACGCACCGCAGACGTTGACCCCACTTCCGCAACAGAAGAGAGAAGACCAGAGCTGTATGTGGAGTGCGCATTGTACATTGATGGTGCTCCGTTTGGGCTTCCGACTAGGACAAGGTTCTTTTCCCCTTCACTGGTTTCTCCTTAGGTCAATTGCATCAATGCTGTTTCTATAGATTTTGAATTTTTGTATCTTCTGCTAGGTTGGAATCTTCAGGGCCATTATATTGTTGGAACGAACTCATTACTCTGAGTACGAAATACCGAGACTTAACCGGTCACTCACAACTTGCTTTGACAGTATGTTTCCTCTCTCACTTCACATCTTAAACAATTGGGTTTTGTGCAATCCCTTGTATATTAACTAGTAGTTGAGGATTCCCATTTGATATCTTCTTGCTCGGTGGAGTTATAGGTTTGGGATGTTTCATGTGGGAAGGATGAAGGGTTGGTTGGTGGTGCTACAATTCTTCTTTTTAATAGCAAAAAGCAACTCAAAACTGGGAAGCAAAAGCTGAGGCTTTGGAAGGGAAAAGTAGCAGATGGATCATTTCCTACTTCTACTCCTGGAAAGGTTTCTGATTGTTTCTTTTTAAGCAGTTACAGATAGGGGCCTTAGCGTTGTTCCTTGAGTTTCCTTAATCGGTTTAGCTTTGTTTATGTATCCCTCGTTTAATTTTTTTTGTAGGTCCCCAGGCATGAGCGCGGGGAGTTGGAACGCTTGGAGAAGCTAGTGAATAGGTATGAGAGGGGGCAGGTCCAATGTGTTGATTGGCTGGACCGCCTGGCTTTTAAAGCTATGGAGAGAATAAAGGAACGTGAAAGCTCTAAAAATGGAAGTTTTCATTTATACCTGGTTGTCGATTTCTGTAGTTTCGAACATCGTGTTGTTTTCCAGGTAACCCCAGTCTGCAACTAATCTGAAGTTGACAAAATTACCTGTTGGCTGATAATGATATTTAACTATAACTATCTGGTTAGACTTTGATATTTAATTAGTTGGTGTTATTTTTCACAAATGCATACTTATATTGCAATTTAAACTCTTCATTTACGCTGAAACTCAAGATTTATTGTTATCACATCTTGAAATAAGTAACTAGCTTTTAGTTGTTATTTTCCGTGGATGATGATTTTGCCTAGCACTGACCTTTATTTATTGGAATCTAGGAATCAGGGACAAATTTCTTATTACCATCCCCAATAGCTTCATCAAATGAAATTGTCACGGTCTGGGACCCGGAAGTGGGAAAGATAAATCCATCAGAGAACAAGCAACTAAAACTTGCTAGGAGTTTAACACGTGGTATCATTGACAGGGATCTCAAACCAAGCTCCAACGAAAGAAAGTAAGTTTGAAATTTACGCTAAAGGTTCATATGTTGATTAATGGTGTTTTCTTAATTTTTATTGTCATAACTACGTTCATACAAACTCATGTTGCTGATTAATTGGCTGGAATTCTGTTCTACTTTTATAGTACCAATTATATATAGGTAGATACTTCTCACTTGGGATCAGTTGTTGTGTAATGGTTGATTTAATTACCATTGGATTTTGTTAGTGTCTTATTTTAGATGGACCAGTCTTCTCAATTTGCCATATTCGTTTGTTTCAACAACACTGTTATATGTTCTTCTGATTGATTTTTTTTATTAAGTAAGCTGGAGGTATATAATTGTTTTCATTTTCCTGTAGGTCGATACATTGGATTTTGAAATACCCACCAACAAGGACTTTGAGTGGCGATGAGAGGCAGCTCCTCTGGAAATTTCGTTTCTCATTGATGTCAGAGAAGAGGGCCCTCACAAAGTTCCTCAGATGTGTTGAATGGAGTGATGTTCAGGTCTGCATTTCTTTGTTCTTCCTTCTCATCATTTTCCTCTTTAACCATTAGTTCATGTGCCATATTACTACTGCATGCAGTTTTATTTAACTCCTGTAATAAAATTGTTTTTAATACTTCTTATTTCCAGCTTATTCTGTTGCTTATGTATAAGGGGAGCTTGTGTAGCTGATCTTAGGACTTCGGTCCAACTCCTATTCATCACTAGTAAGCTGCAGGCCAGCTATTAGCTTCATATGTGACAATCGATGTCCCAATTAGGATTATTGCACTTTTGGCAATATGCATAGCGTTATACCAAAATATCAATCATTGGTTCAGTTTTTACACGAGAAGTTACTTTTATGCGGACTGTTGCTGATCTCTATAGTTGACAAGTAACAGATTTTATATCTGGAATGCTATCTCTTATTCATGTACTTGCCTTGCTCTTTCTCATTTATGCCAACTTTATCACTAAGGAATAAGAAATAGATTAGATTTTCAAGAATTCCATATTCATTTGTTTGCAGGAAGCAAAACAAGCGTTAGAACTGATGGGCAAATGGAGCATGATTGATGTCTGCGATGCATTAGAGCTGCTATCTCCTGTTTTTGAAAGTGAAGAGGTGGGCATGTCTGTAACACTTGAGCTGCTGTTACCTATTCTCTATTGTCATACAACTGTTACCTGTAGGACTTTTTTTTTAACATCGTACTCCTGTTAAAATCAAGTTTCAGATCCTAATCACTAGGATTTGAAGTTAACCATATAAATTTTTCTGCCATTCTGCTCCTTCCAAACCCATGGTAGCTGATTACTGATTAGGCCGAATATAAGAATAAGATCATGAAGAAAAGAGGGAATTGCATCTTGCATCTGTTGTATAAGTACAACCTACAAATTCCATGCTCTCTTTGTCATGCTGAGCAATGGGATACGATGTCCTAGATAAGAATAACTCTGTTGATCTGGGAGGTGAAAAGTGTGTTATGTAGTGATACATATAGCTCTCCATCATTGATTTATTTAAAATCTTTTACACATTTATTTTGAAACTGACTAATGCCCAACTTTAATACCTCCTACCAGGTTCGTGCATATGCTGTCAGTGTTCTTGAAAGAGCTGACGATGAAGAGCTCCAGTGTTACTTACTTCAACTGGTTCAGGCTCTTCGATTTGAGCGCTCTGATAAATCTCGTCTTTCTCATTTCCTTGTGCAACGTGGTATGTGGTCAGATACTATCTTCATATCTGTATGCTGTGCATGCACATGCACATACCCTCATGCTACTTGTAATGTTTTTCTTTGGGATGTGTGCATGGATGTGCAAGGCTACACTTCAGTTCTTCACAGTATCTAGGTTTTAAAGGCATCCTGATTATACTTTGATCTGACAGCATTACGAAACATTGAGTTGGCTAGCTTTCTACGCTGGTATGTTGCTGTAGAACTTCATGATCCAGCATATGCCAAACGGTTTTACTGTACCTACGAAATTCTGGAAGAGAATATGATGAAGGTGAGAGTTCATAAACTACCATGATGTGGTCGTTTGTGTTGTCTGTTTTGATTTGGTGAATCTGGATCCTTAGAATAGCATAAATATTTATGTAGATTCTCCAACCATCAAATGTAGCTATTGGGATTACCTATCTATTTGGTCAATATGATAATGCCTTTCTTAGTTTTTCATTGGCTGAAGCCAGAATGGAAATAAACCGTATCCAAATTTTTATATCAGTTGCCAGCTGGTGTGCAAGGAGATGAAGATGGATTTAAACTGTGGCAAAGTTTGGTGCGCCAGACAGAATTGACTGCACAGTTGTGTTCAATAATGAGAGATGTAAGAAACGTACGTGGCAATACCCAGAAGAAGATTGAAAAGCTTAGACAACTGCTTTCTGGTCTTCTTAGCGAACTTACGTATTTTGAAGAGGTAATACTTTGGTTGAAGTTCCTTGTCTACTGATCTTATTATCTATTAAACTACAAATTCCTTCTAGCCTCACCAATTGTATCTTTGTGTGTTGACTATGTTGGTCTGTGATGTTTCTAGCCAATAAGATCACCACTGGCTCCAGGAGTCCTCATCACTGGGATCGTGCCATCTGAGTCATCAATATTCAAAAGTGCACTGCATCCTTTGCGTTTGACTTTCCGAGCAGCAAATGGGGGAAGTTGCAAAATTATCTTTAAGAAGGGGGATGATATCCGCCAAGACCAATTAGTAAGTATTCTCCTTCACATAGACCCTTGTGGCTGTGGCATGCACACACTTGGGAACTCTGATCAAGTGGATCTGTGCTTCCTGTAGGTTGTTCAAATGGTATATCTCATGGATCGATTGCTGAAATTGGAAAATCTTGATCTGCACTTAACTCCTTATAGAGTTCTTGCGACTGGGCAAGATGAAGGAATGCTAGAATTCATACCATCCCGCTCATTAGCACAGGTATTAAACCCTTTAAAGGTTCCTGATAGATATTGATGTCATCTCAATGCTTACATTAATTGATGACCTTGTTTTGTTGTATCTTGATTTTAGTCTGTTAAATTTATTATATATGGTAAAATGTTTTCTTTTCCAGATTCTCTCAGAGCATAGAAGCATTACAAGCTACCTGCAGAAATTTCATCCAGATGAGCATGGACCGTTTGGTATTACTGCTACCTGTCTGGAAACATTTATAAAAAGCTGTGCTGGCTATTCTGTTATCACATATATACTGGGCATTGGAGACAGGTGAGGATTTGAAGATGATGCCATGCTTTGAACTTCCTCTCTCTCTCTCTCTCTCTCAAGAAAAGAAAAGAAAAGAAAGACAAAACAAGGAGTAAAAAAGTTTTAAGCATCATTCAAGTTTTTGGAAATGAGGGTCATTTTCTTTCCTCAAGTTCTATATAGCTACCAGTGCCGTAAGTATGGTCAACCATTCGTAGTCAATCATTTTTTTGTTTTGGCCTGACACAGTATTCTATCTACACGACTGATGTTCTGCTTATGCAGTAGAAATGCATATAAATTTAAAGCATTAATTTGTCGCATGTAGGCATCTTGATAACCTTCTCCTTGTGGATGATGGACGTCTTTTCCATGTTGATTTTGGCTTCATTCTGGGTCGTGATCCAAAGCCATTTCCACCGCCAATGAAGCTTTGCAAAGAAATGGTTGAGGCTATGGGTGGAGCTGAAAGGTACTTGATGATTAATTTTTTTTCTCTGTGTTGCTTTTATTTTCGTCATGTTTGCTAGATCGGGTGGCATTAGATTAATGGCATGAAATCCATATCATAATGGGTGCAAGATTAGCATACAGGAATACACAAGGTTTGATTAATTATATTACTTCTGCAGCCAGTACTATACAAGGTTCAAATCCTACTGTTGCGAAGCATACAACATTATTAGGAAATCCAGTAACCTAATCTTGAACCTGTTTCACCTAATGGCGGGTTCCAACATTCCTGACATAGCTTCGGATCCTGAAAAAGGCATCCTCAAGGTGACTTCTTTGCGATTATAATCATTGTGATCGTAAATCTAATGTTTGTTTTGATGGCGACTCTTTTGATATGTATAGCTCCAGGAGAAGTTCCGGTTGGACTTGGACGATGAAGCTTGCATACATTTCTTCCAGGACTTGATCAATGAGAGTGTCAGCGCATTGTTTCCTCAAATGGTTGAGACCATTCATCGGTGGGCTCAATACTGGCGCTGATCCCTGAAACAAGTCGGGTGTCATCTACATCTTTGAAAGTTACCGGTAATTTCCACCTCCCTCGTTTTTGTTTGCAGTTTTGCACTTTCTGCATAAAAGTTCATCTTATCTTAACGTGTGTGGAAAAATTGGTAATGATGCTGGAGTTGGTTTATGTTTTCAGATCTTGAATTATTGCATTTCATTATTTTTTCCTCCAGGTTCAGATCTGAGCTTAAATAGGATGAAGGGGGCATATGCTTGAAGAAACAGTGGATTGCTTCCAGGGCGCATGGGATGAAAATTTAAAGAAGCAGCCCGTATTATTGTGCATAGATTTAAGTAAATAAAATTATAAATTACATTTATTTTCTTTCACCTTCGCATAAAAAAAACAAATAACTTGTGGGACTTGTAGATCAAAATATATAAATTACATGTTTCTTCTTCGTACAATAAATCACTTTGATGTCCGATAATTAATTATTTTATAGTTATTACTTTGTTTAGATACGAAGGCACGTGACAAGACTCAGGCACAAAGCGAAAGACGTTAACGACCTATAGGATTTTCTAGCATACACAAGTGTATGTTGTAGTGAAACGTATTTAACTGTTAGATTTGTAACTGTACATTCCATCCGGTATATATTAGACTCGGAAGAATAATATAATTTTACTAAACTTTAGTACTGAGCGGTAATAAATCAAAATTTTAAATAAATATTGTCGGAGCAATTAAATCCCGTTGGTGACGGTGGCGGCTGCATTGCATTAAACCCTACGGAACACAAGACACTGTTTACAATGTGGACGCGACGATGGCGCATCTGTCGTCGTTTTAAATCACCAGTGACATGGCGGGCACTGATTGGACACACAACGTCACCCGCAGGCCTAGCGTTGTAGGGGCATTTTCGTACTTCAAATCAATTACGTAAAAAATAGTCGAGTTTATAAACCCCCAGTTGACGATCCTCACCCGTGCACATTCACGCGTTGGTTCAAAGCTTCCGTCTCCTTCTCTCTCTCTCTCCCTTGATCTCCATCTTCAAGATCCCTCCGCGAAAGCTCATCGAAGGTAAATTCCGACTCTCAGATCTCGAATTTCTCTGAATTTCATCGCATTTTCACCGTTCTCCGTTGGATTTCGGTACTTTTGCGCTCGATTTGTTTTGGATTTCGTGGTAATTTCGTGAAGTATGGTCAGATTTAAGGTTCATTTGTGTTTGATGTGGTAAAATGCTAAATTCCGTGAGATTTGTGTTGATTTTTCACTCTGATTCGATTGATTCGGATCTCTATGATTATGTTCCAACTTTTCATTGCAAATGTTTTAAATTGCGATGCTGTAACTCCAGATCTGCTTGATCTGTTGCTGCATGGCGCATAGTTACTAGTTTGAATGCGTCAGATAATATGAACTTGCAAATGATTGCCTTTAGAGCGTTTTACATTCGGCCTTGCCGGAGTTTGATCTGTGATGTAAGTGAGTTGGTGGTTCGATATGTAGGGATCCGTAGCCAGAAATGGGGCTTACATTCACGAAGCTTTTCAGCCGGCTTTTTGCCAAGAAGGAGATGCGAATTCTGATGGTTGGTCTTGATGCCGCCGGTAAGACCACCATCCTCTACAAGCTCAAGCTTGGTGAGATCGTCACAACCATTCCCACCATCGGTGAGTTCCTTCTTCCCCTATTAAGCAATTTTGTGCTCATCATTGTTATGTCAGCTTTGTAGAATGTGTAGAGACTTTAGCATCGGATCATATTCCTCACCAATTCTTCTGCAATTAATTGACATTCTAATCTACTTGTGTAATAAATGTTGATCTTAATGTTTGATATGGTTGATCTGATGGAAACGAAACTTGTGTTCCAAGACGCTAAATGGTTTGGATGGCAACACATCGCTATAACTCCAATGTGATTTTTTATGGTTGGGAGACGTAGCTTGTGATCTGAAAGAGAATGTTGTTTCTTGCTTGATATAATAGCAATGATTTTTATTTTAATCATCTTGTGAGTTTGCAACTAAAGATAAATTTGTCACAACATAACAGAAACGGTATTTTTGCTAAACTTAGTAGTATAAAGGCTTTTTTCTTCTGCTTTCTTTTCTTTTATTTCAATGTTCTGTAGACAGTAGACTGTTCCTTTATGAAGTTCATTAGGCTTTTTAATTATTTTTCTTTAGATTTTTTTGAAATAATACAATTGTAGAATGAATAAAAGAGTACTTGATCGACAGGGTTTAATGTGGAGACCGTGGAGTACAAGAACATCAGCTTCACTGTCTGGGATGTCGGGGGTCAGGACAAGGTATGAAGTTTAGTTCATGTTTCTGAGCGATGTAAAGTTATTTAAAGAGATTTTGATGATTTCCAAAAGTTTTCTCTACTTGTTTTTGTCTAAAAGACTTGAAAGATTTTGAAAATTGTGGGTGACAAGTTGGTAAATCATATTTCTTTCCTTTCAGATCCGACCATTGTGGAGGCACTACTTCCAAAACACACAGGGTCTTATCTTTGTTGTGGACAGCAATGACAGAGACCGTGTTGTTGAGGCAAGGGACGAATTGCATAGGATGTTGAATGAGGTTTGTTGTCATGTTGCTAAAGAAATTTTATTTGTCTTTGTTTGCGTACCCTGTATTCTGTGCTGATATGTTTTAAAATCTCATCCTTTCAACTTCTGGAATTTCCCAGATTTGAGGGTATGAGATTTAGGATTATGAATGGGCTGAAACTTGTAGTTTATGTGTTCATATGAACACAGCGTAAGGTTTTCTATCTAATTAAAGACGATAAAGATGCAGTGACTTAAGCGGCAGCATTCTGAAGTTAGTTTAGTATGCTGTTGATGCATGTTCACTTTCAAAGGTTTTACCTAATTGATATTGGAGACATCAGAACAAGTTATTTATGTTGAATTATTTAGTGTAATTGGAATATTCTGTTTTCAGGATGAACTGCGTGATGCTGTGTTGCTCGTATTTGCTAACAAACAAGATCTTCCCAATGCAATGAATGCTGCTGAAATCACTGATAAGCTTGGCCTGCACTCTCTGAGACAGCGTCACTGGTAATCTTGATGGGCTTCTTTCCCCTTGTGTGATACAATTTGTTTGACCTTTTATAGGTCTAACATGCAATGTGTGGTTTTCCAGGTACATTCAGAGCACCTGTGCAACCTCTGGGGAGGGTCTATATGAGGGGCTCGATTGGCTCTCCAACAACATTGCTAACAAGGTAAACTAGTTCCCCATTCACTGGTTTATATTTCTTTAGAGTGAAACGTGTGTAATTACCGAACTTATTTATAACCATCACAGCAGGGCTTTCGTGCTGCATGACTTGGTTGACAATCTCTTTTCAGAAATCTGATACTATTGTGACATTTGAATCCTCCTTCTGGTTTCTCATACTCGTCCTTTAATTGCAGGCGTGATCGTATTGAGGAGTCATTTTGTGGACCGGAAATTCTGGATGCAGGGGTGAACATTATCTAGTTCTTTTTTTTGTTTTCGAGACAATTGAATCGTTGTTAAATCTTGTATTTCTTCTTTGATTTCTCATTTCGTCTAGGAGGAAGACCTTTTATATTATGTTATGATAGAAAGAATGAATGAGTGGGAGTGGGAGTGGGAGTGGGAGTGGGGTTGGTCAAATGTGTACATTTGAGCTCTTGGTTGGATTTTGGATACAGTTTCTGAATTGTAATTGCTGTATCTACCGTGCTGCCGTTTTTCGCATCTTTTATTGCATAAATTCGAAGCCCCTAACTGCGACCGGAGGCGGTTGTGTTGTGCCGTGCTTTGTTTCTTGCCATGCAAGACTTCTCAGTGATGCGGAACCACACGGAGAGATTTTAGAGTGCAGGTGGTGGTACCATGTCACTCATCCGTCCAAGACCCAAAAACATCCCACTAGGTCCATCTAGGGGCACGACCACTTGTCAAGTTGTCATGTGTTAAAAAAAATGGAGGTTTAATAAAACACTTCTGGTATTGTTCACTTTAAACGAAAAATCACATTGATATATTTTCTTGGTACTAATCATTATACCTTTAAAAATGACTTTTCATTAAAAGGAAAAATTTTTTTGAATTTTTCTTAAAAAAAAATTCTATGTGTCCAATGAATTGGCGACATGAGAAAAATTTCTCGAAAAAATTCCTCAAAAGTGAGCATATATGGTACTTGATTGCACAGAAGGCCAGAGTGTGCGCATATTTTTGGTTGCCAGAGCGTCAACATCTTGGGGCCCCAATTGTCTTGGAGTTCCATCGATTACCAGCCTCCGAGGCTCGGGACCCTCCGGAGAGAGAAACATAGAGGATCCTAATAAAATCCCGTTTTTGGTCCCAACTTAGAGACGGGTGAAGGTCGTACACAAATATGAAATATCCCCCGCTTCACAACAAAACAGTTTTGGATTATTTTGTAATTTTGTGCATGAATATCCACGTCATTGTAAAGACTAGAGAATCAAAAATCGGCTGGGCACTTGTCCTTCAGTCAATTTTCGGCTGTCAAAAAGTTGCAAGGCATGCCTCTCCATGCAAATATGCCCATGCCACTGCCACCATCTCTGCCTTGGAACCTTCTTTTGGAGAATAAAATTTTCACATTTTCGTGTGTTAATTTTTTTAATAGGAAATGCGGGTTAGATCAATAAATAATTATGTATTTCATCAAATAGGTCATTAGTCACTTTCACTTTAAACATAGGTTAATAATTAATTTGATTTCTTTTCAAATAAAATCAAAATTACTATCGACTTATCTCTCCCTAAAGTGAAAATTTTTGATTGACTTCAATTAAAATTGAAATATAACATGCAGTTTCAAAAAAGCAAGCATGGATGGATGGATAAATATTAGGGAATTTTAACAAAAAGCTTCAAGTACTGTTTACTTTAACGAAAAATCATATTTTTACACTAAAAAATCAATCCTGGTACTATTCACTTTACCTTTTATTTTGTCCTTATCGTTAAAACTCAAAGTTTTCAAGCATTTTTCATTAATTTTCCTTAAATATTATGGGCATCTACAATAGTTATGCATGCATGCAGATGCATACAAAAACAAGCCAGCTAGCTTTAATAAAATATCCAAACCAAAGAATATCTCCTACCTGTGGCTCTTGCCATGTTTGAGCGTCAAATTACTCTTCGATCTAGTACTCCTCCAACCCTAAATCTTTGATAAGATTATACAACCGCTATGATAGGTGAAGCCGAAATAACATAATTTCAATTTTCACAAGTTGGAGCCTTGGTGTCCAATTTGGAACCATAATATGTCGTTTTGAGGATAACAACGAGATGGTTAAATGCTGATTTTCTTTGATATAATTATCGTTTTAATAAAGTTTTCATGGACAAAATTTCGGGTATGCAGTTCTGTGCCATGGTTAAACACTGGCTGCAACCTACAGAACTAAGGAGCCCTTTACAAACCAACATTGAGCAAGATTGTTGAGCAAGATCGATGAAACAAGGAGTACTCTCCCTTTTCTTTTTCTTTCTCTTTTTCTTTAAGGCATAATAAATAGGGCCTAATCATCTGCTGTGCGCAATTCCTGGAGATGATATGGTTCCACTTTGAGGTGTAGGTGATCTACTTTGAATGATCTTTTCGTTTATCTACACATATATATATATATATTTATATTTATATGATTCACCAGGTACTTTTTGCATTGTTATACATAGATAAGATCAGATTACATATGTAATTGTAAGTAATTAATCAAAGGAAGAGATGATCGTTCTCTATCAGATCGATAAGCAAGCGTTGCTTTTTTGGAACGTTTTTCATGTTATATATTACAAACTTTTTCTTAATTAGCTTAAGCTAACTTGTCGCGACCAACCAGACAACATCATATCAACCATTAATATATACACTTAGAAAAATGTTAGGAAGATCATGTTTTTAAATCATATTTTTGTAGGTTACATAATGTGGCGGTTGATGATTGAATACATTCTTTAATGATTTAAACAATAAATATAATCACAATTGTCATAATTTATGAATTACAAAATATGATTCGAAGTAAATGGTAGTTGAAGCGTAAATAATATTTCGAAATTTCTAATGACGTCGGTGACATTCTCAACGAAGGAAAACTTTTATGTATCTGCTGCCTCCTCGAGAATTCGTTATTGGGTGAGATTTGTGTGGTATTTGTTAAAAACCACATACGTCTTTCAAGATATATATAATATGCATGTGAGAAAGCTGCGGGAAACAAAATTTTACAGGGTGCTGGAGTCTGCAGTAAAAGCCCAAAAGAAAAAGGGCAAATAAAGCTAACCCTAATTCTTATCAGTCACGATTAATACCAAATACTTTGTTTGAGGACTTACTCTTAAGGAACAAGTGCATGCATATACCATTCTCTCTCTCTCTCTCTCTCTCTCTCTCTCTTTTATTTTTATTTTATAAAAAACCTTCTTAATAACTCTCGCCCGAACTCGCTTAACTTCAGAGTTCCTACAGAATCCGAAGCTAGTGAGCTCCCAAAAGACCTCATACTAGGAAGAGATGGAAATATATATATAAGGCATAGAAGATCTACACCCCTGGACGATGTGGGATCTTGCAATTTAATTATCAACAGTTATCTGTTCAATGATAAGATTTATTATAAAAATCAAATTTCTTCACAATTATCTCTTTGCTTATTTCTTTTTATTTATCTTTTTGTTATTTCTCGTTCTTCCTCCTACTTTAAACCCCATTTATAGATTTTATTTTTAATTTTTATAATCAACCTATATCACAAGTTAATTATATTTATCTACCTATATGACAAATTCTTTTTTTATAATCAATATGTTACAGATTAATGTGTCTTGCTTGGAGGTATGTTATGTTTTTTCTAACTTTTAATTAAGTTTCATATCTCACGTATAGGTATTATATACATTCATATATTTGTTACTTGAGTTAGAGTAGAATGTTTTGTAGATAAATTTACGATAGTATATTAGTTTTTTTGTTATAAGATATTAAATATATTTTTTTGGAGTTGGAAAATGCATAATATTAGAATATTTTAATTGATTTTTAATATTTTTAGAAAATATAAAATGAGTATAAAAGAAATAAAAACATATAATTAGATAACTGGACTCACTCCTAAAAACACTCTACGTTTTTGGACTTGAATCTAAAAGCCCCTTTATTTAATTAATACGGAGAAAAATACAACTTTGGTAATTTGTTTGGGTGCATGGATCATATATAAACAAAACTTTTTTGAACTTCCTCGTCCATCGATCGCCTTCAAATTCATAGACGTTGAGAATCTTGTTATTAATTCTTGTCATCACACATGCTAATGCATGGTCTCAACCATATTTTCTCCATCATTTTGTTTGTATTTTCCTTCTTTTCTCATTGTTGGTATAGAGGAATATGCCAGATGTCAATTAATCAATAATCTTCCAAATCATTAAGCTAGTCAGTCTGCATAATTATTGTTAAACTTTCTCATCAAAATGAAAACCCTCATCTGATTTTTCCTTGATTAATTCAATGATAAAGTTTAGGGTTTAGGGCAAGCTTTGTATTAATTATGGTTTTTTTTTTAATAAATACACTAAATTCATATGTACTACAGAGACAAAGATTCTAATATATATGCTAAACTCATGTACGTAGTATTAATCATGTTTTAGAAATTAATGGATATTATTAAGTTTGAGCCTAAAAACAAACCTCTCTAAATTCTGAAATGAAATTCGATAGTCTTGTTAACTCTTATCTGTGACAAAATCAGATGAAATCAAAATACAAGAATCGCATACCATGATTATATGAAAATAGTCGCCTAAATGACGTGGACAAAAACCCTACCAAATTTTCTCCTTAATTTGGCATCGACCTCTAAAAATGATCATTTCTCTATCAAAGGCCCCACTTCAGCCGAGTACTCCACCCTTTGATGCTAACTTTCTTAAACATATTTCCACAACGGAAAATGATTCCCACTTGATGCCTAATACATTTCCCCCATCACAAGTAATTACATAGTATTCTTAATGGAGCCTCCTGTATTTTCTATTGGCCATGACCTTATTACCTTCCCATTAATCTCAGCCGTCCATCTGGATTCTTGATGATAAGGCTACCCTATTTAGATGAATGGTGGGTTTGAACAACAAACATTGTTCATTCATTCTTTCTTGTTTTTTTATTTCTCTCCAATACCATCATAAACCCCAATAAAACATTATTTATAAAAAATAAAAAAATAAAAAAAATGGGACTTTGCATTTGGGTTTCATTTGGGTTCCATCTGACATGCATTTAGTCCTCATTTGTTTATTTAAAGCATCCAAAGGGGCAAGATTGCAACTCAGGAACAAAGGTTAGTAGGGTGGCTTCATCAGTGTAACAAATTTACTTTCCCCACACTCCTCATTTCTCAACACACCAACCTAATAATTTTCATCAAACCACTCTCTGCAACTTTCCAAATCACCCCAACATCTTCCCTTTATTACTATTCATCACACAAAATCAAGGAAATGGCACCCCGAGAAGTTCCAGCCGATGTGTTGCAGGCAACCAGCAACAGTACTACTACAGGCTACTCCAAGAGGGCCTTTGTGACATTTTTAGCCGGTAATGCTGATTATGTCAAAGGGGTTGTGGGTTTGGCTAAGGGCCTACGCAAAGTGAAGAGTGAATACTCTCTTGTGGTTGCAATATTGCCGGACGTGCCGGAGGAGCACCGTGAGATTTTGCGGTCTCAGGGCTGTATTGTCCAGGAGATCGAACCTATTTATCCTCCTGAGAACCAGATCAAGTTTGCAATGGCCTACTATGTCATCAACTACTCGAAGCTCCGTATTTGGAATGTATGTAAAACCATACCACATATTGATAGTTATCATGATAACGTATAAACATCTAATATGTTGTCCGATTGTCGAATGAAATAAGTCTGCCAATGATTTAAATCAATTGTCGTGCAACATAATATCAGACTGTCTGATGAATAAAATATGCGCACATGCATTTCTTATGGTTACAATAAATATGTATACATGGCATCAGTATATATTTGAGTACATGGAACTTATATATATGCAGTTTGTGGAGTACAGCAAAATGATATATTTGGATGCGGATATCCAAGTGTATGAGAACATAGATCACCTGTTTGACACGCCTAATGGCTACTTCTACGCTGTGATGGACTGCTTCTGTGAGAAAACATGGAGTCACTCACCTCAATACAAAATTGGGTATTGCCAGCAGTGCCCTGACAAGGTTTCATGGCCTGCGGACATGGGCTCTCCTCCTCCACTGTATTTCAACGCCGGAATGTTTGTGTTCGAGCCTAGCCGCTTGACTTACAACAGCCTTCTTCAGACACTGCAAGTTGTCCCACCCACCCCTTTTGCAGAACAGGAAAGTTGATTGGAAATTTTGATTATTTTTAAATTAACTGAGCGAAATTTATGTGGGGTTGTTTCTGCCATGTTACATAATAATTTCACTGCGAATTGAGATTAATAAAATCTTTTTGTTTGTTTTACAGGATTTCTTGAACATGTTCTTCCAAAAGACATACAAACCCATACCAAATATATACAACCTAGTTCTAGCCAATCTTTGGCGCCACCCAGAGAACGTGCAGCTTGATCAAGTAAACGTGGTTCACTACTGTGCTGCAGTAAGTACTATTTAACAGATTGATTACGCATATTTAATTTAATTAATCACTCTTAATGAATTGTTTCTTTTTAATTATAGGGATCGAAACCATGGAGGTATACTGGCAAGGAAGCTAACATGGACAGAGAGGATATCAAGGTCTTAGTGGCCAAATGGTGGGAAATTTACAACGACGAGTCCCTGGATTTCAAGGCTGAAAACCCAGTAACTGCGGAGGAAGAAACCTTCTCAAAGCCGCCGTCGATCATGGCTTCCATGCCGGAGCCAACCATTCCATACCGTCCTGCTCCATCTGCTGCATGATCGGTAATACAATCTTGAGTGACTAATTATTATTCAGAAGTCAACTGTGTGATCAACGATCCGTCGTTTTGTATTTTTGGTCTCATACTTCTATTATATACTCCTTTTTAATTAGGTGGCTTCTGATTGGCCTTGTTTTCTTGGTAGTGAGAGTTCATAGAAAAATCACATACACATAAGTGAATTAATGTATTTGAGAGCTCTATAATACGTACTAAAAATATATATACATGCATGTTCTTCGTGCATTTGATCTACATCAATTTTTTCGGCTGGCGCTGAAAATTGAATTTCACCACTTTTTCTTCGAGAAATGCTGGTTGAGGACTGCTGTATAATTCTCACAATCGGGAAGTTCTTGGGTAAAGAAACTGGATTGGGGTTGATGTGAGAGGGAGGGTGGGGTTAAAGTGGGATAGAATTAGCATGAAAAATTAGGAGGGGTGAGGTATGTGGTGTTCTAATTTTGTATTTGAAGTTCGCATGAACACGTGATCCAAACGCTGAACCTTAGAATTTCTCCCCACAAAGAGTTGACTCCATGCATGTGACCCCCAAGCAACAGCCCCTATACCCAAATGCAATTTGGGATAAAGCTCATGATCAACCGATTCAACCCAATTCAAAGTAGTTCTGAACTGAAATATGACTCGCTTCAAAACTTGGACAACTCGACTCGTTTACAATACCACAGCGGCACAGTCCAACTTCATCCAATTGGCACTCCATTCCAACTAATAGGTACCTTTTTGAATGTATGGTCTAGCTATACACGTGGCAGTCTTACAATGGCTCTGGACCGTGGTACCAAGACCCCACCAGATAGTCGACATACACTGGTTTTTTGCTCAGCTGTCGATTTCTGGGTGGGCCAGTGATTTGAAGTTCGGGATCACCATATCGTGTTAATGTGAAAACAGCACAAACGCAAGAGATGGCTAATACACACCGATTACATAGTATGTCGGTATACTAAACAAATAATTAACCCTTGAAGATTGAAACTTAAAAGTTGACGAGTTGTGACGGCATGCATGGGGATTGAGGGACAGCAACGTGAGAAATCTTTAAAGTATAACAGATGGCTTAAACTTTAAAGAGGAAAAGCAAGTACATGGAAAGATGAATACAAGCAAACACACCGAAACAAAAGACTAACAAAACAATGGATTTTGTCACTTTTGTTGTTGTTTTTGAACCACAAGCAAAATCCCATTAGAAGATTACAAGGAAACATAAATACATAATTGCTGGATAATCACAAGATTTTTAAGCATCTGCAGACTCAAACTCACACTCACAGATGACTCTGCTACATACTTTAGGGTTCCAATATGGTAAAGGGAATTGAAAAGCAGCGGAATGTAAGTGATGAAACAAACCTCAGTTTTCGAGCTACATGTCCACGGACAAGTACTCGGGCTTTCTGCAGAGCATGCAACCCCACTACCAAGCTTGAGATGCTCCCTTACAATTTACAAGAGTTTAAGTGTCAAAACTCGCAAAAGGAACTTTCAATTTCTGTGGCATATATGAAATCTCCATGCATTTTTTCCTAATGTAAAAACATAATCTTCAAGCCCTGACTGTAAGCGTTCAAGATTTGAGGCTGCAAAAAGGTAAAGGGTTCCATTCATTCGCTAGAAAAACATTTACATATCTAGAACCAGGAACATCCCCATTTTCAACCATTCTATTGCAACATTGTGGGAAAAAAAAAAAAAAAATTGAAGCTGATCAATAACTCCTCTCTTTTTCATGAACCATTGCGGTGAAATATGATGGGATTTCTGCATTCCCCACTCCCTAGATTGCAAAGTTAATTTGCAAGAGGATGACAACTCTCATACTAGAGACAAGACCATCATGGAATTTTAATGAAACCGACATAAATTTAGATAAGACCTAACATATAATATCTCATATTTCGTCGACCTTTGCCTAAAATTTCCTCTCTTACTTATTTAGTAGAAATCCAAAACAAAATCACATGATTTTATGATAATGTTTCGTAGAGTCGGCGAAGACAAACAAATTGGTGGAAAGCAGTGAAGAATAATTTGGTAGGAGGAAAGCAGTCGACGGTTGACAACATTGTAACAGTATTTGGTGGGAAACAAGCAACTGAAGAAATTATTGACTTATATCCAATTATATGTCACAAGATAAGAATGAGAGTTGGACTAGTTGCTACTTATTTATCACATTTTTAGTACAAGTTGTTACTGCTTTGAATCAATTTCTCCAAACCTATACTTTAATGGTGAGTTGGTGACCATTTCAATTTTTTTATAGGTTTGTAAGACAAAAGTAAATTTTTGTGGATGTTTGAACAAATATATAGGTATTTATAAGATTTTTGGGTGAATCTTTATTTAAATAAGTTTTTATAATTTTTTTAATCATTGCATTTAATTTAGGGTCTTTAGAATTTTTTTTTTTTTTTATACCGTTAGATTTGCTCATATTCGACCTTAGCTTGGATTTAACGTATTGAAAATTTTTATTTAAAAATAATAATATAGACCGCTGGATCAATCAACGGTTCAACCACATGGGCTGTTAGTCTTTTCACAAGAGGCCGACAACATCATCAACTGGGTCCAAGCACCGAGTCTCTACCAATATCCTTGGCTCATTTTCCAAGCTAAATTTGATCCAAAAATAAGTTTTAATTTAAAACATTTTTTAGTCCAATAATTAGAGAAGCTTTGGAGGTTTAAAACTCAAATTTTGAGTTTTTTTTTTTTTTTTTTTTTTTAATAAACGATATTATCTACGTTAAAGGAGAGGAAGGTGGACTAAACCTTACAATAGACTAGTAATAATGTAGTTAAAATTCATCTTTGATAAAAATTAAGTCTAAAACCTCTTATTTATAAATGAAGAGGAACTCAACAAAATTGTTCTAGATAGCATCTCCATGAGTCTAAACTTGTTCCCGCAAAATTACAACTTACAAGACAACCTTCGACGGATGACCCAATGGGGAAAGAGGCCGACGATACCTTCTTCCCTCTGAAAGTCAAAGGTTAAGATTGAACTGAGTGATCTCTCGATAAATCTTAAATCATCGAATATCCCCACCCTGAATAAAAAGTAATTTATACAATGCGTTAGGTGCATTGCAGACTGCAGAGGGGCAACTCTACAACTTGATACGAAAAAAAGATCAAATCAAAAAATGGAAATTGGGAACACTAACCTTACAGAGATTTCAAAACCCACCAATTCGGAAGCTCAAATTTCCCACCTTGCTCTCGACATTGGAGGCAATTCACTCTCCACGATCATAACCTGGTTTTTTATTTTTGGAGGTCAATTGCTCAAAGTCTCATGATTTTTCGATTGTTTTTGGATTTGTTTTGCCCGTTGGCAGGTTCTCTGATAAAGTTGGTGTATTTCTCAACGAACAGTGCCGACTCTTCTTCTTCTTCTTCTTCTTCGAATGAGAGTTTACCAGCTTCTAATGGCGATAGAGGGCGCCATGTTCTTGAAGGGAAGCTCCATTTTGCAAAGTTTGAAACTGAGAAAATCAATGACTGCATAGACTTCATTCGGTCCAAGCAACTTCTCCATACTGGTATGCTTAAATGTTTTAAGTATTTGCTTTGCTTTGCTTTGCATCTCCTGATTCATTCGTATCTCATTTCGTTTCAATCCAACTTGGGAAATGGGAAGATTCATTTTTTCACTAATTGAGATTATTTAACCTTGTTTCGCTCAACTAAATGTTCATGTTGAAATCTTGGATTGAAAGTTGAAACTACCATTTTTATTGGTAAATGAATTACTTCAGCTTGAATAATGGTACCCATATTTTCGACTGCGAAATTTTTTTAGTTATGGAAGATTTGAACTTCTGAAAATGAAGTACGAAAGAAGATCATATATGCCTTGAATATAGCTGCTTGTTCATAGTTGTACTTATCGTTTGCTGGTTTTGGGTCATTGCTTATGGTTGTAGATCATTTCAGGCCCCCAACAACACCGAGCTTCTGGGAGCGCAAAGTGCATTATCAAGGTAAAAACAGGTGTTTAGCTTGGCCATACTATTATGACTGTTTGTGGCATGTATTTGTTCCATGTGCAAGCTAATTTATTGACTCGGGACAATGGAGAGCAGGCCACAGGCGGTGGGGCATACAAGTTCCCAGATCTCTTCAAAGAAAAGCTTGGGATTTCTCTTGACAAGGCAGATGAAATGGACTGTCTTGTGGCCGGATCAAATTTTCTGCTCAAGGTGGGATCCTAATACCACTTACATAGATTGGTATATACAAGTTGGTGTGTTTCTTAAGTCATGTCATGTAATCCATAGAATGTGTGGGTTGGGAATTGGGATGAGCAATAGCGAATTCAGTTTCTGTTTATAGAGATATTTCTGTCTTGTTTGCTTTCTTGCCTGAAAATAGCATTGACGTTTTGATTGTTGTTTAAGTAGGCAGTTCACCCCGAAGCATTCACATACATGGATGGTCAGAAAGAATTTGTGAAGATTGACCATGATGATCTATATCCTTATCTGCTTGTCAATATTGGTTCTGGTGTCAGCATGATCAAGGTATTCTTGTCAAAGCCGATGCTTTATTTACTGTATTAGTTTCGTATGTTTAACCATTTTAAGGCTTGACGTATTGTCCTATGCTTGCGCTTCGATAGGTAGATGGACCTGGTAAGTTTGAGCGAGTAAGTGGAACCAATGTTGGTGGTGGAACCTTTTGGGGTTTGGGGAAGCTTTTAACAAAGTGCAAGAAGTACGTTTGTCTTTTGCTTAAGTGCAAGGCTATTGATATTCTCGTTATATGATTTTCACTTAGTAACCAAAGCTGCAACTGTGTCTCAGTTTTGATGAGTTGCTCGAGTTAAGTCATCAGGGAAATAATAGAGTGATAGACATGCTTGTCGGGGACATCTATGGTGGAATGGACTATACAAAGGTATGCATATTCATGACAGACAGGTCCCTCTTTCAACATAGGATGTTGAAGACGTTCTGGTCGTATCTCTGTATGCCAAATTAAAAGAGCTCCTTAATTTAAACAGTGATGAGGGGATCCTGGTTTCCATTAGCTTTCGTCTCACGCTTATTAACTGCAATGTAATTTTTCTGACAATTACAGATTGGTCTTATATCAACAGCCATTGCTTCTAGCTTCGGCAAGGTAATTTCTGACGATAAGGAGCTGAAGGATTACAAATCTGAAGATATTTCTCGGTCACTCTTAAGAATGATTTCAAATAATATTGGGCAGGTAAGCCGTGGTGAAAGAAACCTGTGTCACTTGTAATTTCTTAAAACTCTTTGATTCCATTGCAACCTTTACCACCAGATTGAAACTATTTTTGTTAACATGCCGATTATATTGTTTCATTTTTTATCTTCTCTCCAGATCTCATACTTGAATGCACTGAGATTCGGGCTCAAGCGAATAATTTTTGCCGGATTTTTTATTCGGGGTCATGCTGACACCATGGACACGATTGCTGTTGCCGTTCATTTCTGGTAAGCCTGAATTTAATGTCCTTTTTCATGCGTCAGTAATGATTCATACTGAGAATTGAAGTATAAATTATGTCAAAACAATCTTCAAAATGTAAAATTTGACGGATGTCACGCTCTGTGCCTGATTTGGTTTTCTTTTACTCATCCATCTTTCCTCGTGGTTTCGGGTTTAAAATTTCATTCATTTGATCCTTATTTGCAGGTCTAAAGGTGAAGCAAAAGCAATGTTCTTAAAACACGAAGGATTTCTTGGAGCATTGGGTTCATTCATGAGCTATGAAAAGCATGGTTTTGATGACTTGAAAGTCCATCAGTCTGTGCAACAATCCCCAGCGTGTGATGATCCACCAAACGGGGAATTGAATGAAAACCAAAGTATAGACTGCAGTGTCTACCTCTCACAGTAATTCGCGTTGCCTTCTCCCCGGGGCTTGGATGTAAGAATGTAGAGGCAATTCTTGGTTGCCTGTCTGCATTCTGTGGAGTTCAAAGGCTTGAAACTTGCGTAGCTTATGTAACATTGTGGATAAACTACTAGGACATTTATTCAAAACTACAAAGAGAAAAATTCAGATGGAGAAAGAGGAAAACTTTATAGTAGCACACAATGTAACTTCACACGATTGATTTTGAATTGTGACTACACCGTCTAGGTTTTGTATCTTGTCAAAATACTGTAACTGCGCATCGTTGAATGAATTCTCACTGTTATTACATTTTAGTTTTTTGTGTTTGGTGTTCCTTTAGTGTAGAAAATACCGAGTGTATTGAAAGAAAAAAAAAAAACTTATATCGTCTATTTTTGGGGCCTGTTTGGTGATGCTTATGGAAGGGCTAAAACCGCTTCCAAATAGCCAAAATGCTTATGGTAGGGTTTAAATTTAAGCACTTTTTGGTGCACCCCTCACAGGCAATGACCACAAAAACATGTGTTGTGTAATTTATAGCAGCTTCTTTCAATGTCATTACGGCATTAACTCAGCTTACAAGGCAGATACAACAAGTAGTTTCTGACAGGCAATACTCATCCTCGATCTCATCCTCCACCCTCATCGAAAAATCGAAAGGGAGAGGAGTTGCTACACGGCGCTAAGGCCACTACACTTGATGGATAAAACGAAATGAAATATAGACGGATCTATTACATATCAATTTCCATTAATAAGGAATACAGAGAAGTGCTTACTAACTCAACAGAATTCGATCATTTGACAGGCGGTAGCCTCCGATGGCATTGCTTTGCGTTCCTCCTATGAAGGGCCCATCTTTCTTTGATGTTAGATACATTATCAACATGACTAAGTACTTGCCCATCCTGAGACATTTCAATCTCTTTATTAGACTCTCCAGGATTTAATTCTCCTCGTAATCTGGCAGCTTCAGCAAGCATGTCGTTTATCAGCATCTCAGTAGTCTTGCTGGTGATTCCCCTTAGGTACCATGAAATCGGTGGAGGTGGAACTATAGTTGGTTGGATCAGTTGCTCCAAGCTCACCTTTGAACCAATCCTTCCTTTGCCTCCTGTGCAAGAATTATAATCTGCCCACGTCCTGGGTTTAAACGGAAAGCAGGTTTTTTCATCGACAAAAAGAGGTTCGACTCTCCAGTAGCCTTCAAATTTCTCCATAAACCCTGTTTTGACTTGCTTGAACTTCATCTGGCAAATGGCAATTTCAGAAATTAGAGATCCAATTTTACCATGACATTGCAGAACATGAGTTTCTAAACTATTGATATGATTTGCCGACAAGATATAAAGCATACTGGAGATCCTAAATATGTGATGGGTCAACAAAGAACATGTGGAAAAGCGACAAAAAAAAGTTCTTAAGTTACAGTACATCAAGAAGATGATCGAGTCTTACTGAGTGGTCTTTTCTGTTTTGATCTACTAAAACACGAACCGCAATGGTCCCTGACCACCAAAGAAACTTCCATATAGCTGCCTGCTCCAGATCAACCACCTGCCTATGACCTTCATCAACCAAAACGTTTCTTGATATCACTTCCTGAGACAGATAATTAACTTGTCAAATTAACAAATACAATTTTATATGATAGAATAGGAAAAGAAGAAAGCAAAAAGCATGTCTGCCCACGCCTCTCCAGCTTTCTAACAGAAAGTTGTTCCTAGTTAAATCTGAAAGGAAAGTGGACAGGAATGGTATCACTTACCTTAATATTTTTGAAAACCCTCTTATTGTCGGGGTCAGTTACAATATTATATACTGCGTCTGGGGGTAAACCAACATTGACGTTTACACTCAGGTTGCAAAGAGAACCTTTTGGTACACTGACCTGCAAAGAGTAAAAGTAGTTTGTGACTTAAAGTTAGTAGGTAGTCAGAGAAGCCATAAGCTCTTGAGATGTTGCTTTGAAGAGAATGTGGTGTACACATATTTGCAACCACTAAAACATTCCTGCTTCTTGCCTAGAATTTCTCTCTTAACCAACATATGCTGCACGAAGGTGATGTTTAAGGACTAAACTGAACCGTTAGTGTAGAGGGGACCAAGACGATACATGTAGAGACTTGACTGATATGAAATTCTCCTTTCCAAGGGACTTCACAAATATAGTATAAGAAATTGAATTAATTTTCTTTCTTTTGACGCTGATTACCAATCACATTTTGGCACACAACAAGTTTACGACAGGATAAAGCCAATTTATTCCCATTCCAAAGGAAAGTTAAGCGGTACAGGGAAGCACATCTCTCACCTTTATATACGGTGGTTGATCAACCCAAGAAGGATTTTCTCTCCATGCTTGCAACTGCTTCTCGAGGTCAACCTCCAAAGATGCAGCCTTTTTAGGAACAGAGCTCACCTTTTTCACTCCATCATCCTTTGCTAGTCTCTTGAGCTGCGACTGTAACACGAAGCGCCTGTTAATACTAATATCAAATCAATACCCATAAGCAAATCACAAGTTTTAGTGAAATAACTTACCTTTAGGCAATTTTGCAGCTTGTGAGGAACCTGCAACAAAGCTTTAGAAAACGCCAGATTAAAGGCCTTGGGCTTGAGGTGCCCATTTCTCTCGTTCTTGTCGATGTCTACGCTTGTCTTGGTCACCTCTGTCTCACCCATTGAAAGGACAACTGTTTGGAACAAGTTCTATGAAAATTTTTCGTGAATTTCGTGAATGTTATTCGGTTTGCATACGAGGAAGCAAGCATTAACTTTTTTACGTTTGCTTATGGCTGACTAGTGTTTAAACAAAAACTAGAAAGTAATTAAAAACAGGCTAATCTATGGAATTATATATTAATAATTCCATTTTTGATCCTGTTAATTTAAATATTAGTACATAATCCAACCACCAATTGAATTCCTAACACCATTTGGCCGCCATTCTATATCCCAAGCTAGTACGCACAGAAACACAGATAGTACAATTTGTGGTTAAAAACAATTTGATAAACAAACAACTTTAAATCTGCAATTTCCATTAACATTTACAGCAAATTCAAGACCTTTACTAACCACAATCAAGAAAAAACAAAACCCATCTCAAATTTCAGAGATATCAATCAAACATTCACGGAATAATTAGAGAATTCCCATCTCAAATTTCAGAAAAACCAAAAGTTCTGGAAATTAACAGAACCAACCCGGTAAACAAAGCTCAGAGATTAAGCAGGTAATTAGAAGAAATGGGTTAACTTACAGCGATTGATTACGGAGCAAATGTAATCAGAAGAATATTCATTCCGGTGTCGAATTTATGAAGCTGATCCAAGAATCTCGTGGCTTTTCTAATTCGCTGTTTCGTTTTTTAACACTTTTGCTAAGATTTCTACGGGAATTTGGAGAAAGATTGGCCACGTGAAGCACGTGTGATACCGGACCGGCTCCGGAACTCGATCAATCATGGAATAATCTGAACGGTGGCGGTGCCTACACTTGGGTATGTGGACCCCATTAGAGATAAAGGCCATGAGCTAAATTACGAGAGTTGTATTTTTTTTTTATAGATATGATATGTTAAAATAATAGTTTTTTTTTTTTTTTTGGTAAAAGTTAAAATAAGAGTTTACAACAGGAAACATGTGGACCATATTTTTCACGTCTTTGTTCTCAGGGAAGTTCGCACGAGATTTTTATCACGTGTTATTATATAAATAGTAAGATATATGAATTAAAAAATAAAATCTTCCACCACTTATATAAAAACACATGATGTATCATCCGTATTCTGATCATAATGAAAATTTTCTTGCAATTCGGGTTGTACGATGACAATCCGCTCCAACAACCATTTCAATATGGGCAAGGCAACCCAAACCATACAACGACAATTCGCTCCAACTCATGACGGTTATTGAAAGGGATATTAAACATGCCCATTGACCAGAGTCATAATGGGAGTGTGTGGTTCGATTAGAGTGCACCAAACGGAGTTTTGATGGGCATATGTGGTTTGCCACCCCCATACGGTCGAAACGGAGTACACCACACAAAGTCTTAATGGGAGTATGTGGTTCGCCACCCCATAGGGTCCAACCAGAGTGCACACGCTAAGTCTTAATGGGCATATGTGATTCGCCATTCTCACAGAGTCTGAAGTGCATACGTGTAGGTTCTCCACGTCATGTTCAACCGCTCTCCACTCATGTCCCATCATACCCACGTTACACATGGTCTGACTACTCCAAGCCACGCCTCTGACTAACTGGTCAGACTGTGGCACTCAGACCCATGTTGCCCATGCTCTTAACTGCACAAAGCCATACTTCTAACTCCAACTGCTCTGAGCCTTCAGATATATGGTAGAGTGCACAGGAGATAGACTTTGGACGCCTATAAATACGCCCCTCAACACTTCACAAATGGTCGGACACTTCTTTTTCTCACTTGGAGCATTCTGCTCATTTTCTCTCTCAAATACTGACTTGATCATCGAAGAACCTTAAGTCAGAACCACCCTCGGCACCTGGTTTCACAATCCTTTTCTTGTCTTTGTTCTTGCAAACTCACCTCGCTTATGGAATTATCAACTCCGCCCCTACAACATGTGCAAAATCTGCTCCAATAAAACACATTTATAGTAAAATTACGTCATCAAAATAAGACATTCACAATTAGGTATTAAAGTGATCGCAACTATGGATATGATATGTTAAAATAATAGTTTTTTTTTTTTTTTGGGTAAAAGTTAAAATAAGAGTTTACAATAGGAAACATGTGGACCATATTTTTCACATCCTTATTCTCAGGGCAGCTCGCACGAGGTTTTTTAGTGTTACCGGAATATAGGTTGGTACACCACGTGTTATTATATAAATAGTAGGATATATGAATTAAAAAATAAAATCTTTCACCACTTATGTAAAAACACATGATATACCGTCTGTATTCTGATCACAATGAAGATTTTCTTGCAATTCAGGCTGTACGATGACAATCCGCTCCAACGACCATTTTGATATGGGCAAGGTGACCCAAACCATACAACGACAATTCGCTCCGACCCATGATGGTTACTGAAAGGGATATTCAACATGCCCCTTGACCAGAGTCATAATGGGAGTATGTGGTTCGATTAGAGTGCACCAAGCGGAGTCCTGATGGGCATATGTGGTTTGCCACCCCCATACAGTCGAAATGGAGTACACCACACAAAGTCTTAATGGGAGTATGTGGTTCGCCACCCCATAGGGTCCAACCAGAGTGCACACGCTGAGTCTTAATGGGCATATGTGGTCCGCCATGCCCACAGAGTCTGAAGTGCATACGTGTAGGTTCTCCACGTCATGTTCAACCGCTCTCCACTCAGGTCCCATCATACCCACGCTACACATGGTTTGACTACTCTAAGCCACGCCTCTAACTAACTGGTCAGACTGTGGCACTCAGACCCTTGTTGCCCATGCTCTTGACTGCACAGAGCCATACTTCTGACTCCAACTGCTCTGACCCTTCAGATATATGGTAGAGTGCACAGGAGATAGACTTTGGACGCCTATAAATACGCCCCTCAACACTTCACAAATGGTCGGACACTTCTTTTTCTCACTTGGAGCATTCTGCTCATTTTCTCTCTCAAATACTGACTTGATCATCGAAGAACCTTAAGTCAGAACCACCCTCGGCACCTGGTTTCACAATCCTTTTCTTGTCTTTGTTCTTGCAAACTCACCTCGCTTATGGAATTATCCACTCTGCCCCTACAACATGCGCAAAATCTGCTCCAATAAAACACATTTATAATAAAATTACGTCATCAAAATAAGACATTCACAATTAAGTATTAAAGTGATCGCAACTATGGATCGTTTCACAATGATAAGAATTGGACCCAAAACTCAATGGCAGACCCACACTTCCAAAAGAGGAGGGGCATTTTACACGTTAGAGGGAAAATGGGAAACTTTAGAAGGGAGAAGGGGGACTCGAGACATTGTAGTGTCTAACTCTTTTCGCCCTACCAAAATCTCCCCCAACCAAGCAGAGATAACACTTTTTGACCAAAAACAAAACAGAGATGACACTAATTTGGTAGATGTCACAGTATGGGTCTTTTTATAGGACTGCTGCTAAACCCTAAAATCTTAAATCCTCTTTCTATTATGCAATTAGCATAAAACACACAGAAACACCTTTGTATAAAAAGAAAACATCATAGTTTACAAAATCCAGATGCATAAGGCAATCTAAATGCCTTTTCAGACTTTACGGCACACATCACCGTCACAAATATAATCCTCCGTTGCCTTGGGAGGGTCATCCTCCGTTCCTCCATTGTTGCTCTTGTTCAATGCACATTTTGGGTGGAGATCGAAGTTGCAGTCTTTGCAGTAAAAAGACCAGCCACTTCCCGGCTCCCTGCACCAGCAAACATAGTCGTGGTGGAGCACACGCGTGAGCTCGTGTTCAGCATGGAGTATACTCTTCACTTTCTCAGGCCACCCCCTTGCTTCTTCCTCCAACTTTTCCTCCAATTGCTTCAAATGCTCTTCTGTGAACGGATAAGCGTCGGATCCATGCGCCTGTATGAGTTGCCGGGCCTGCGTGCTGAGTGTCTGGCCATTGGGGCTGATGGCTACCAATGCAGGAATGCCTTGGATTTTGAATTTGTGCTGCAGGAGGGCCTTCCTTGGATCACCTAATGGGATGGCTAACCAAGGCATGGTTGCAAATAGTTCTTTGAAGGAGGGTTGATCGCGATCGCTTGAGAGGAAGATTATTTCAATGGCATTGTCCTCTGCCTTGATCTGATTGTATGCTTTTATAAGCTTAGGCATGAATGCACGACATGGAGGGCACCAATGAGCTGAGAAATAGAGCAGAATGTGCTTCCCAGCAAGCTCAGACACGGGTACCTAATCAAACACAGACAGAAACTTGACGCATGCAACTAAAAACCTCTGACTGATGAGAATAAAGAAACATTTGAAATTTAATTGATAGCATAGAACATAAGGAAAGGAACCGGCAAGAAAATTGTACCTTGGAACCGTTATTTTCAATCACAAAGTCTCTGCCCCCAGCAACTAAAAGTGACTGTATAGTCTGTTCTTCGAGTTTCAACTCAGCAAGCACGGCAATCTTCTCTGGTGTAAAGGGGTAGGCTTCAGCGCCATACTCTTCAATGAGTTCAGCCGCATTGGAGTGTAAGGTCTTCCCATCTAGCCCAATTATAACTAGTGTAGGTAAATTCTCAAGCTCAAAGTAGCGAGCAAGTTTTTCACAGTTCTTGTCCTTAAACGGCAATGCCAACCATGACACTTGAAACCCTTCTTTGAAGTGTTCCTCTTCAAGGTCCAGAGATATCAACACAATCTCAAAGTTCTCTCCTTTCTCCTTCATTTTCTCATGGAACTTCACAAGTGCCTGAGTAAATTCTTTGCATGGCTTGTGAGTATAAAGCGAGAAATACAACCCAACAATCTTTCCTTCAAGCTCGGATACAGAAACCTGTCAATACGTTTTTTCGGTATTCATGGACATCAATTATCTCTATCATATAAAAGTTAAAACAATCCAACGTTACAGAAGTGCTAGCAATGTAACATCAAGGGGAAAAGCTGTACCTTATTGCCATCCTTCGAAATCAAATAATCCCGGGAGCTAGAAACCAAGAGAGAACTCAAGGACTGATTCTCCTTCACCGCGGCTTCCTTCTCTTTTAATAAATTCATCTTCTCCGCGGTGAACGGATAACCATCCGCCCCGTGGTCCATTACAATTTTTGTCCCATCATTAGTACAAACTTTTCCATTGGCATCAATAATGACAAGATGGGGAATCCCCCTGACCTTGAAGAGCTCCTTGAGGCGTTTTCGGGTCTCCAAATCCGAAAAGGGAATCGAAAGCCACGGCATTTTCGAGAAGTATCCGGTGAACGATTCCTCATCTCTATCAGAAGAGACGAACACAACTTCAAAGTCGCCCTTGGCGGCCAAGTCCTGGTGGACCTCCACCAAGTTTGGGGTGAACCGGCGGCACGGGCCGCACCACGAGGCGGAGAAATACAACCCCACAATCTTTCCGGTCAAACTACTGGTCTCAGCCTATATATTCATAAAAAAATAATCACCACAACCCAGAAAATAAAATAAAAACAGCCATCTCAATCTGTTCTTCGTATAATCAATGCCAAAGTAAACATTTTGAGATTGAACCAAGCAATTACATAGCATTTACCCAACTGGGTTTCCATCATAATTACTTTTAGATTAACATTCCTCTATATTCTCAGAACAAAAAAAAAATGCAAATACTTTGGTTTGCTTTTTCCCCCCTGCAATCTCAATGAACATAGAGTCGAAACTTTAATGAGAAAATATCATGGTTGTACTTTTACCTGGCCGCCGTTGTT